AAAAAAAAAAAAAAAAAAAAAAAAAAACCCAAAAACAAACCAAACCAAAAAAACCAAAAACAACAACAAAAACACCTCAGCATTCAAGGAGCAGCAATTGACCATCTCCAGGTTTGGGTTGGGATTCATTCTTTCAGAAACTTTCAGCTGCTTTAATCTCCCAAGCTTCAAATGGATCAACTTGCCATCTCTCTATACTGTTCTGAGGCTTCCTCTTCTTTGATGCAATCACAAGAGTTCTCCTTTTCACTAATTCAACATTTTTGCGGTGAACAGATAACCCCATACCCTCTTCCACTCCCTGAGTATTCTTTGAGATGTCTGGTTCTATCCTGGGAACACCTTGTTCCTTCACAACCTGAAGTAGATTTGGGCCATTCTCTCTCACCTGTGGGCTACTTCATGGTCGAGAGAAGCAACTCAATCTCTTCACCACTACTTGTTGTTTCAAGAAAATCATTCCTCCACTCTTACGAAAATCCTTATTTTCTCTTGTGCACATAGTATTTCCTACAGCTTTTATGAATCTATTTTTATTAGTAGTGTACCTGTTTGCAGTACACAATATTTATGCTCCTTGTGTGGAGATGGCACATGTACATAACTCATCTCAAATCCTTTTCTCATCCCCTTTTCTCCCCCCCCATCTCTTGATCACCTTCCCATGGGAGAAAGGGCTATCTTCCTACCTCCTATAAGCCATCTTTTATTTTGCTCTTTATTTATAATTTGGGTTTCTCATATAAGAGAAACCATAGGATATTTAAGCCTGTGTGTCTGATTTATTTCACTTAACGTGGTCTCAAGGTGTATCCATTTCCCTATAAATGACTAAAGTTTATCTTTCTTTATGGCAGAATAGTACCGCGTTGTGCATATGTTCTGTATTGTGGGTAATTCTTCCTCGGGTCGTCAAATGATGACATCTTTATTGGAAGGTTTGTTGTTCTATCCGCAGCACTTAGGGCAGCCAAACCCATAGAAAAGCTCTCACAAAAATTTTTACTGAATGTAAGGAGCGGAAGGGCAAATGAGATTCTAAGTGATGCCCATTGATAACACTTCTGTGAGAGCACTAACTGGGCCAATTTCAAAGCCACATACTGGAGCCACATCACTTCCAGACCCTACCTGTATTATTGTGAACAGACTGTGGCTTACTACGTTATACTTGTGGTTTACGCTGATGACTGTCCCCCTAAAATTACCTCACCTGTGGGGAAACTGAGGGTCCTACTCATTATACTGACCCAAAAATTCTGAAATAATCTTCTGAGGCATCGTTTTAAAGAAATTTATTTCAGTGATTCTTTCTCTCCCTTTCCACTTCCTTTCTTGGCCTTCCCTTCCAAGGTGTCACGAAGTCAAGAAATTACTCTTGCTAGGTTGAGCTGGACTCAAACTGAGATTCTCCAGCTCAGCTTCCCAAAGTGATGGGATTAGACAGAGGTACCACAAGACTTATCACATATGCTCATCTCTGTTGAAATAACATGCAGTGTTTCTTCTTTGCTTCTCTTGAAACGCGAGAATAGTATTCAACTCTCTCGACTATATCAACTCCTACGGTTACCATATTTACAACCCAATTTCTCCTCACATCTTTTCCATTTTCTATTTCCAATTATTGCTCATTTAATACAAGTCCTTTTGCACAAGTCTTTAAATAAATGATTAGATACGATAAATAAGCACAGCTGGAAGAAAATTACTCACTCTGTACGCTTGGCCGAGACCACCATTATCAGCAATGTTTTCTCCCAATGTATTAATTCCGTTGAGCTGTTAGAAAGAGACCTTTCATCAGATGTTAAGAAAAACATCAATAATTAAAAAAAGCAAAAATCAATAATCAACTTATAACTGAGCACATATAAAAGTTTCCCAGAAACTGTCAACGACATACATGCTGTCCACCTGCTAGGTCCCAGGTGAAATTCCCATACTGGTACACCATGCACTGGGATTGGTCCTTGAAGTTATTTGCAGACTGTTGAGTCCACCAGTCAACCAGGTCTCCATCCTTGTTAAAATTTCTGCCTGTAATATATTTGTTTAAGTAAAATGGAAACTCATAACAAGATTACAGATATCTTTCATTAAAGTGCAAGGGCTATAATACTGCTACATGGGAGAGCATTAAATTGGACAGATGATGAAAGAAACTGTAATTCTTCTTCATTTACACACTTTAATAGACACTTGGTAGATCTTGTAAACAATTGTACCTTTCTTGTGAACCAACTTTTGTTATATCTTCAACTCTAACCTATTTACATACCTCATGTCTTTACTTCTATTCTTCTCAGCTTTCTTTGAAACTTAAAATCTGCTTAGTAGAATATAATTTTCTCATCGTGAATATTTAAAAAATTTTTTATCTCATTGAGTGAATATTTTATTCTTTTAGAATGCAAGTACACATCACTTAAATACTTATTAAATTTTCTTTTCTTCTACAGCAACAATTTAAAGAAACCACAAAGCACAGTAAAATTAGGTCAACGATGCACTGGTGAATAAGTGAAGTTATACTCTCTTTTCAAACTGGTGCGGATATACAGCAAAGGAAAATATGAACCGCTCTTTACCGTTGTCATCGAAGCCGTGGGTTATTTCATGTCCTATGACCATGCCGATGCCCCCATAATTCAATGAGTTTGACTGCTGGGCGCTAAAAAAGGGAGGCTGCAGAATGCCGGCTGGGAAGACTGCAGGAAGAGAAGACGGCTGCAGATTATTTGCGGCATTATCCCAGGACAGAGGGACTAGCATTGGCTTCTTATTTTCTAAACTGTTTTCTATTAAGTCAGTTTTCCTTAGGTCTATACAAAAAAATCTTCTGTGGTAGAAACAAAGAAAAGTGTTTTATTAAAGATCAAGACAACAAAGAGATCATCCTGAAGTGGCATCGTGATCTATAATTTATTCATCATGGCCCCCTTTGCAATATCTTTTAAACTCATTTTTTGCTGAAAGGAGTTTAGGGCGAGGAAAAGTTAGAATCTACATTCAGAAGGTCCTTTCACCCCTAAAAATAATTCGGAAGAAACACTGTTTCATAAAAGGTCATTTAAAAGATTTCATTCCTCTACAATAGCGTCTTAAATAAACAGAGTCACTAATTCAAGGGCACACCTTTATCAGGTAATTTTACTTCCACGGATCACCTTGCATTGTTTCTTTGTTTATGATTCCTATCTGCCCACTTCAGTTGTTCCACCACTTCAATTATTAGCTCTTTAAGAGTAGAGATTTGTATGTCTATAAATTCATTTGTTTGTTTGTTTTCTGGTCTATTTGTCTTTTAGTTCATTTTCTCCAGAACCTAAAACCAGAGTAGTGCTTGGAACGTAAGATAGACAAGGTTCAGGAACTGTGTAATCACTAATTAATCGTAACACTAATTAATAGTAATCTTAACTTACTAAGGTGTTTTAACGAATTTGGTAAATACATGAGCAACTTTCTCCATTTTTAGGCCTCACAAACACTTTACTGTGTCAAACATCTAATTCATTTTCCTGTCTAAGTTATCACACTCTTGAATTTATTGTTTCTGCTAATAGCACTTTAAGGGTCCCAATTACCAACAACGAACTCCTCTATTTATTTTAGACGTCCTTTCTCTGGTACAGTCATTTGTGGTCTACTGAGAAACAGCCCGGCTGACCCACCTTTCTTCCAGCAGCCTTCCTCACCTAACTCTCTCATGCTCATTCCTCAAGAATGATCTCTTTCCTAACTATTCTCACCTTTCGTCTCTCCAAACTATAATTTATCCTAAATCATATCTATCCTGCTAATCTTTTCAGTAGCCAGGTTGAAGTTTAACTCGGATCCTTACTCCTTTCCTACTGAGAAACTCTACTTGACTTATCCTTGCTCTCCAACTAAATACAAAAACTTTCTGTCCTTCGTCTCCATGACCCTTTCCTTCCATTTCCTGCCCCTTCCCATCAGTGCAATGAATACTCCAGTCCAGCTATACCTTCACTATTTGTGAATTACATAAAGTGCCTTCATTCTCTTCCATTGAAACATATTTCTCTTGTTTCATAAAGAAACATTGTTTTGGGACAATGTTGTTTAGAGTTGATTAATCTTTGAACTTAGAAATGAATTAAAATTATTTATAATTTTATATAAAATTATGGTTATATTCTAGTAATTTTACTTCTCATGTTTTAAAACTCTAGTATCCACCAAGTAACAGAGATGTCATGTTTTTTTTTTTAATTTTATTTATTGGTACATTCTAGGTATACAGTACAGTTACATTCATTACTGGGACCTTGTACCTTTACATGCCAGGTCTTGGTTCTCAGTTTTTTCCCCTTGTCCCCACTGAGACGTTATGTTTTGTAATTAAAACAAAACAAAACACAAAGCACAAAAACTAAAGTTGGGCCATTGCTGGGGAATATCAACAATATAAGAGAAGGGCTCTGATTATAAGAAATTTAAGATCTAGTTAACACACAAAAACAAATGTTGTTTACTTATCTTTTAGATTAAATATGACCTAACTTTACAGGGGTTTCAGTGACAAATATTAGATATTTGCAGAGGAAAAACAATCTTGAAATTTAATAGCTCCCCAGACCTTTAAAAAAATTGGAAAGTTGCCATAACGTTTATATGACAAAATAATAAAAAAGTACTTTTGGCCTTGGAGAATTGTGATAAAAGTTATAACTCACATGTAGCTGCCTGAGCTAAACAGTGCCAAGAAATTATTTTTAGCTTAAAATATAAAAATTATGTGAAGCATTTTATTAACTTAAAGTGAACACTATCTCCCACACTATGTACTTTGATTAAAATCCGCCCATTATATAAATGCTCTTATGAAATGTGCTATCAAGACTAAACATTAACTATAAAGATCCTGCTGATTTAATTATACCTTTATATGCCATCCTTCAAGCAAGTAATAGGATTTTTGTGGCTCATATTAAATACTAGTCTTCAAGTTCAACTTTACAAATGATGATCTCCCATTTAAACTGTCAGCTAAAATTTATTGGTGTTACAAGTCAATTTCACAATTGTTGCTTCTAAGTAACTGCTTAGTTGTGCATTTTTTTATGTTCACAATTCTCAAAAAGTTAATTAATTAGGTAAATCATTAGTCCATGAAACAAAAGATTGGATTTTTTTCTTCCCTCTCTTTTACCTCCTTGGCCTTGACCCAGCAATTTCCCTAATTCATATGTTAAAGTTGCACGCTATTCAACTTTAGGATATTTCACATAAAAGTCGTTTGTAATCATGCAAAATTTTTTTGGTGAAAAATATTTAAATATTCTTTTTGTATTGAGTGGAGTAGCAAAATGTTTAGAAACATTCACTGAATTTCTCACTGTTAGCTTCTAAGAATGAAGAAAACATTTGAGAAAATCTAAGCATCTCAATGTATTCATAGACTGCAGGCTGCACACACTAAATAATTTAGACATTTATGAAAATTTAAAAAATTGATTTACAAGAATCTTACCCCAATTTTAATGAAAGATAAATAGAACACAGTAGTATTAAGACTTTTCTTTTGACTTGAAGATTTTTAGGTTTAATAAGATGATTGAATAGTGCCTGGAACTGATAGAAAAACCTCTGATAAAATATCCTAGTGCAGTTTTCCTAATGATGTGGCATGGAAAGTTTCCAGAGCTCTATGAAATAAATGCTCAAGGAGGAGGAACATTGAATGAAATATACTTAGTAGCTCTCTTGTCCTGAAAGTTGACTTTTTGTCAATGTGAAGAGGTGGATGGTGGGTACAGATGTGAATATGGTCCATGCACAATTTCTGACTAAACATGATTGAGAGTCAATTAAAAATAGAAATGAATGGCATGAGTAACTCTCTATAGGACCATTAAGCTATTTATTTTATTTTATATTTTGGTACTGGGGATCAAAGTTATTTGTTTCATATAACAACCTAAAATGACCAATCTCATAAGAAATTATATACAATCCAATTTGGGGCATTTTATATATCTATATTGTGAAGGTGCATTTACGTTGCACGTGTTTCTGTATCAACTCAAATTTTGTAATGGGCCTTATACCAAACCCATGAACACAGTGTTGTTGAAAAATATGTAAATGGGTGTATTTACATACACACATATTTCTATCAAGGAGAAAGATGATCTGAACATTTGGTTAGTTTTAGTTAAGACAATCCCCACTGTGAAGATTTAAATGGTTAAACAAACAAAATGCATACTTGAAAAACTTTTCTTGCATAACATTTCCCCTCCTCTGAACTGCTGTTACTGCAAGCTTTTTATTCAATATTTTCATCAGTTGAGTTTATCTTGAAAAAGGTTTGAAAAGCTGTTTTTTATATATTAAGAATGTGTTTCATAGCCAATTCTTGATTCAGAGGGTAACTGTGTCCATTTTGTGAAATGGTAGACCACTTTTACTTTTTTCTGTATGCTTAAATTCAAATAAGAATATTTCTAGCTCTTCCCTAATCAGAAAATCTCTTACGTGAACCAATTTTGAACTTCCAAGGATTTGCTACAATTAGGAATAATGCAAGTTCCTGTCCGGTGTGTGTGTGTGTGTGTGTGTGTGTGTGTGTGTGTGTGTGTGTGTGTGTGTGTGTGTGTGTGTGTGTGTGTGTGTGTGTGTGTGTGTGTGTGTGTGTGTGTGTGTGTGTGTGTGTGTGTGTGTGTGTGTGTTTTACTGAAGATCAAACCCGAGAAACATTCCCACTGAGCTACACCCCTTATCTGTCTGTCTGTCTATCTATCTATAAATAATTTTTGAGACAGTGTCTTGCTAGTCACCCAGGTAGGATATGAATTTGGAATCCTTTTCCCTTAGACTCCAACAATGCTGGAATTACAGGTATGTACCACCAGGCTGGGCTGCAAGTTCCTGTTTAACAGTGCCCAGAGAAAGGCTGAAGTTATGAACATGCTATAGTTGTACAAAGATCTTCCTGGTCTCTCTCCTTGATAAATCAGCACTAGCTTGATAGGATTCAGGGTCCTCCTTGAGCTAGACTGAAATGAAAGTATATTCCTCAGTCTGCCCTGATGTAAAAATAAGGGGCTAGTTGCCTACTTTGCTTTGGGATTGTACTCAAGTTTAGTTAAAAGGACGGGTTTTCAGTATAGAATGAACTGCATCTTATAATGATAGAGTTGCTGAATACTAAAAGAGGTCTCCAAGGGCTAGGGTTGTCTCAGAGGTAAAGTGTGGTTAGCATGCATCAGTCACTGGGTTCAATCCACAGAATTGTATTTTTTTTAAAAAGAGAGATATTCAAAGTGAAGATATTCCAAACATAAAGATACTTCTAAGAAAAACAACTGTGATTGTTTTCTAAAATAATATATTACAAAGGATTGATTGCCTGAGCTCTGAAATATTGATCAGTAAGCAGGTTTCATCTGGGTTTAAATAATTATTTCCTTATCTGGAAAACATATTAGCTTAGACTTTGAGATGACCGAATTTAACTTAGATGTACATGTCTTATTTTTGTGACATAAACATAACATTTTTGATTGTACAATTTGTTTTCATATCATGTATCAAAATAAATTCTGGATTAAAGAAAAATTTATTCCAAAAACGGAAATCATAAAAATACTAGAAGAAAATGTAAACAGCTTCTTAATGCATCTTTTTCTAGGATTAAAAGCAAAGAAGGTATAATTAAGCTTTAAAGTAAAGAAGATACTTAAAAGTCTGTTTTTAAATCATTGATTAATATTTTGAAAAAATTTCATAATTAATAATCAAATTGGTGCGATAATTCCAAAAAGATATAAAATGAGTAGTTTACAACAATGGTGGAGTTACCATCCCTCTCTCTTTTTTTAAATTTAATTTTTATTTTTTTTGTACCGGGGATTGAACTCAGGTCCTTGCGCTTGTAAGGACCATCCCTCTTGATTCTGGATCACACTTAGAAAAATGAAGAGGGAATCTGAGTATCCCTGGAGAAGTCAGCCTCTACTGTACATTTTACATATCTCTGGTAGTACTGAATCAGTGGGATATATTGTTATACATACTAAAAACCTTTTGAAATAAGAGGTTTGTAACAACAGAGAGTTTAAAGATATCCAAGCCTAATCTGGAGGTGAAAAAATATAAATCTGTTATATGAAGGAATTCAGTTATTCCTTATATCAGTCATGTATTGATTTTATGTGTACTTCTGAGACATCACTATTAGTGAACATCCATAATTTTGCCTTTTTAATCCCCAATTTCACGTTTCAATATAATATAATTGAGTTTTCAAATTTCTGAACTCTTTAGTGGCTTCTGGAATGAAGATGCTATACAATAGGGCCCTCTCTATCAGCCAGCACACATAATTACCAGGAGATTCAGATCTACAAAAGTTTTGCTATTCAAAGCTAGAAGTATTTTAAAATGATGATGTTTAGTAAGTCTGAAAGTCAATATTATTTTATAGAAATAATGAAAAAGGACTTTTAAAAGTAATTACAAATAAACTACTTAGAAATAAGAGAGAAACCATTTTAGTTATAAATGAGAATATTGTAAAAAAAACTTACTATGATTGGTACTAATTTAAATTTTTCCATTATAATGAAAACATGTACATGAAATACACTTAATAAATCAATAACAGTGTTAGCTGAAGTTTTGTTTTATATTATAAACTGGTCACACTATACATTATGAGTTGGGAACAAGAGAGAAATATTAAAGAATTATTTAGAAATATACCTTACCTATCTGATTTCTGCCTGAAGAATAAAATGCATTGACGACAGCTGCTCCACTTATCCACCTATGAAAAACATAAGAACATTTTTAAAAAGATACTTCATTGTTTGACTCAATGTACTCACCACAAAAATATTACCTACTCCTAGAGGAATTTTAACTTTCTATTTGAAATATATTTAATTAATTAAAATTAGCTTACTAGGTGAAAGTTCATTTGAAACTTTTTCTGTTTCTTGAAAATTCAACATAGATAATAGTCTACAATTTGTTAATTCATTTGCATGAATTTTTATGGAGGCATCTGACAGAGTAAAATCTATAATCGTATATCTCTTCAGGAATGGCAGTGGGTTAGGATTGTATCAAAATGTGTTTAGCTTTATGTTCTTAATACTAAATACGCCAATAATTCTGGAGCAGTTGACAAAATATTAAACAGGTCATTAAAACTTCAGATTCAAGTATCTTTAAATTTTTTGTAATTTCTAGTTTACAAAGTCTTTTGGGGGGAACTAAGATATTTCAGGCAGATTATCTTGGAGCAACATACCTTTAATTGTTGCTCTTTAAAATTATTTTTAAAAAATGTAGTATCCTGAACAATTGAACAAAGGTATATTTTTGTGTGACTCTAAAGTGAAATCCAGGCAGCCTTAAAGACATTGTTACTTTGTCTACACAATGACTATGGCTTTATAGAGTATTTAGAGGCTTTGTAATGTATGGTCCCTGATTGCATGAGAATCTAGTTTACTTGAAGAGATGAGAAAGATGCTTATGAAAAAATGAAAAAATAACTCCTCAATGGTAATATGATCCTGCAGGGTGGGAGCTAATTTTCTCATACTTTTGTGCTCAGATGTTATTAAAGATGCATCTCCACAATTATGTGTTACACTTTTGTGTAACAGGAATAATATTCCTATCTTTAAGACTATAACACATATTTATTGAGAAAGGACTCTTCTTTTCTTCAGATAGTCTCCTAAATGTCAGCGCATACGCATACACTCAAGATACAATAGTATATTAGCTAATGTTTTCATTGTAGTTTTTCAACTTTCAGGGCACAGATTAGTAAGACAATTATTATCCTTCTCACTGAAGACTGCAGTAATAAGTACAAAGAGGGTAAGTGAAGACATTCTTGAGACTGTTTTGTCAGATGAGCAGCACAAAGCCAGCCATCCAAATCATCATTTTAGTGACAACATCAGTAACTATTGACTAAGCACTATTTTGTTCCGTTAAAAATGACTGCCACAGACTACAGATTTAACAACTGCCTGATAAACTCTAACTATGGGTTTTGTCTCCAACAAAATGATTAGAACGTTCTATACAAAGGATGTGGAATTCTTTTAAATGCAGTTAGTAACCTGGTGAAGTTTTCTTTAGGAAGGTAACAAGCTTGCAGAGGAAGAATGTTGATCTGTGTGTTTCTCCCTTACTGCTGTTAAGTATAGAAAATCATGTTTAAACAGGATGGGATGAATGATATATCAGTCCTCCCTAATTTCATCACAGCCAAGACATCAATATTTTATTTTCTGGATGTTGATGATTATGACTATTTATTTATTCTAATTAAACTCCATTTGCTTTTCACACAACTTGTGGTAACTATCAAAGAAAACATGTACTGTATTTGTAAATTCAGAGATGTTACACTAAATTGAGAGATCAGAAATTATAAAGAGTAACAGTATTTCATTTTTGTGACTAACATACTATAAAGGGAAATTTTATATATATATATATATATTCACACTAGGTACAGTCATAGGTCCAGTACGATTCCAAGAATGTGGCAAAAGAATCAAAGTGTACTTAAACTACCTAGAGGAAATCCTGTTGCTTATGTGAATTTAGGTGGGATTCTTGATGTGTTTGTTCTTTATACTCTGACAGCAAATATGGCAACAAAACTTACATGAACAGTTTATATTTATTATATATATATATTCACACTAGGTACAGTCATAGGTCCAGTACGATTCCAAGAATGTGGCAAAAGAATCAAAGTGTACTTAAACTACCTAGAGGAAATCCTGTTGCTTATGTGAATTTAGGTGGGATTCTTGATGTGTTTGTTCTTTATACTCTGACAGCAAATATGGCAACAAAACTTACATGAACAGTTTATATTTATTAAAGCTGTAATCATTATAAAAATTTATTTAACATTTTTTCAGGTCTTAGTGGTTTTTAGGGTTAAGTTTCTCAATTATGAACTACTGATTTAGTGTCAATGAATTCTGCATGAGCTTTTATGGGTAATGACAGAAATACTTGCAAATTGGCCCTGAACTGGTGAAAAAAATGTGATTATTAAATAGAAAAAATGCCAGGTGAAATTGTTTTTTAATGAAATGTTATAGAGGAACTAGATACAGTGACATCATGCTTCGAAACTTAATTTGTTCTACAATTTTGGGAAAGATACCTACATTTGTGTTTGTGTGGGAAAGATGGTCAAGGTCCTTATTGTCATCTGACGCAGTTTGTAACAAAAACAAAATTCTGCCAGATGCATCTGTTTGTGACCCAAATTGTTTGAAAAAAAAAAAAAAAAGAGCTTTCGTGAACCGAGGCACCTCTGTACATGAAACTAATTCCTTCAATAAGAGCTGGCCTCAAAGCTAAGACATTAATGGCTGAAGTTTTTACATTACGCATTGTGTATTTATTGCTTTTTAAAAAGTAAATGTCATACCTTTTATTTTAGAGCTTTTCTGCTCTTTTATGTTACACTGAAAAGCTTTAGATTGCATTTTGATTAATGTTTGTAACTTTCCAGCAGAATGAATTTTACACATTAAAATGTCAACTGTGAATTATACTTTCAGGAAAACTATACTTTCAGGTAGCTATTTGTGAGCATAGAACACTCCTAGAACTATGGCTCTCAGTTTACACAGTGCTAGTGGGTAGTCTTTGCATTTACTTCCTTGAGATCTTTCGCGATGTATCCTCAGACCACACCGCAGAATTATCCAGATTCAAAGGCTTGTGCCATTTTTTTTCTGGCAATCAGTACAACTGGAAGTACTGTGATTAAATGATTGTATCTTTTAAAAGTGAATGATAGTAGCTATAGACTCAATGTCTAATATTTGTAGTTAATCATGAAGTGTCTCACTATGTCAATATAAAAGCCAAATTAATAACAAAGAAAATATTTTTTCTAATTAAATGGTGATGTCAAGAAAACTCTAAGTTCTCTTGATGTAGGTTCTTCGTCATTTATGAAATAAAGACAATTTTGGCCCTAAAAGTAGCACAGAGAAAAGAAAATAAGATTGAAGGAGAAAAAATCAAATGGTGCTGATGTGTTGCAGAAATAACTGATAGTATAGGTTACCAGAAGATGCCCTTAAAGCATTGTGGCCCAAAGCCAACAGCCCTCCCTGAGAAAAGACACAAGTATCCTGCAGTCCCATTTCTCCTCCCGTGGCCAAGGATCTGTGTGTATGAGTTGCTGGTGTTTGGGAGGGGGCGAAGGGGGCGGGTAGTGGTGGAAGGTAGGCTCTCAGGAGGTAAGAAACTTTACTTTTAATTTCTGAGATGTAATTTTGTCAAGCTTGTTCTTGTCTGGGGTTATTCTACAGTAGAACACAGAAGGTTCACTGTAAGCTCCATGGCCTTCAAAGCCAAACTAACAATGTAGGTTGGAATTATAACTCAAATACACTTAGGAGAAGGATCAGGTGTTTCTCTTCTATCTCTTGTTATTCTAAACAGGCCAAATGGTGATGAAATGAAAGCACATGGGCATCATTTTTATAGCACAGAAGAAAAGCAGAAATAGGCTCCATAGCCTTTTGGATATAATAAAACCATTGGATTGCAAAAGTAGTTGGGATAAAATGTCTCTTTCACTCTTGCGTAATTTTGAAACTTAAAAAAAAAGTTAATGGCTTTTCCTTGCTAGTTCGATTTTCTAGCATTTAGTAGTCTCAATGCAACTCTTTTGAAATCAGGAGTGCCACAGCTTTTCTGTAGCTTCTTCAGATACCCCTTGGTGGAAAGGAGAATTCTCATCTTGTAGTCACAATAATCACTGCAACACTTTCCATTTATTGATGTTCAGTCGTCAGTACTTCAGTGTTTGCTACATGCTTTCACTCATCTTTCAAATTATCTTTATAATGTAGATGGTAATCGCATTGCCAGTTAGAGAAACAGAGGCGCATCATGGTTACTAAACTACACAATATAAATACAGTGAGATAACTCGAGAAAGAAATTTAAACTAACGAAGAAGAGGACCTGTGTCATGGCTTTTGTCTAGATGTCCCCCTAAAGCCTCATGCACTCATAGGTGGGGCTTTTGGGAGGTGACTGGATCATGGGGGTGACAAGTGAATCAGTCCACTGATTGGGTTTACAGTAGTTCTGATGTGGATAATAGAAAGACCCACGTTGGGTCTGGGTGGCACTGACCAATAAGCCTGCGGCCTGAATGGAATAAAAAGGAAAAGGAAGCTTGCTGCTTCTTGTCTGACACACCATGAACTGCTTTTCTGCCATGGTTTATGCCATATCATCCTGTCTTGGGGCCGGCCAACTAGAGACTGAAACCTCTACAAACGGTGAGGTGAAATAAATCATCCTTCCTTTAACTGTGGTTGTCTGGTATTTTGATCCAGCAAGGAGAAAGTAACTAAGTAACTTGCTCATCTTCCTGTGAAATTCCCCATTATTAAACTTGATATGCATCACGCAAAAAACTTTATTACAATGATTAGTACCGTTTTCTTGCAAATCTCTTTAAAAATAAGGATAATAACGTCTCACTACTTCTTCAAATACAGTGTCCCCCTTATCCTAACAAGTTTTGTATACTGGGTTTCACACTACCCAGAAGTTATATGAAAAGATTCATCACGACCGGATTATGAAAGCAACAGCTGCTACTTCGTAGACACCTGAGTTTGGTGCAAGGCACGTTATACAACACATAGTGCAATAACCACACAAGGCAGAAGTCAGTAAACTCACATTTACAAAGAAAAAGCCTATCTTAGGTCACATAGCTTACTAAATGGCAAAGCAGGA